GACATTTGGTGCTTTAAGCGTTTGAAATAAGGGGAAAGTAGTACAGAGTACAATTAGTTGCATCGATGAATTGATATGACAGACAATGTTGCTAATGGTTTAATGCATTCAAAAGCATGTGCCGACTATGAGGTTTCTCGTCATGAAGGACGTTGAAGACAAAGAGGAGGAAATCTACTCACGTCGAAGACCTCAAACACACTATAGTACCGTGATGGGGTGTTAAGCTACAGTACGATATTTAGTGATGTTAGCGTTTCAAAGGCCGCTGACTATGCATCTTTGCGTCAGCGACAATCTCGGACGTGGAAGTTTTATATCCAAAATTACTACACATCATACACTCGTGCAAACATTCCACTAGCATACAAAACCCCATTCTTTCTGGGACGATTGAGCGACACTTAATTTGTGGGTGTGAGTTACAAAAGAGGTAAATCTTCCTCGTGGGAATGATGAACAAAACATAATCATTCACAAACACTTGTGAGTTTGAAAATTTAATATACCTAGGGACCGATGGTGCTAAGGTTGAATTGCGTCTCCTCGGGACTAATTCAGGTATCCTGACAAATTTTCTGAATCGGAACTGATTCACAGGCATTAATTAGACACTAGAATAAGTGGATAAACAGTGTGGAGAACTATGTAGAAAGAGTACAGTCACCAGAACCAAATCTGTTACTACAGGATACTAGTGGGTTTCTACCAGTTTTAACAGATAACGGACTCCAAATTGCTCATAACTACGACATTCTAGGATCGACTTGCATTGACGTCAATCAGCAGAGCCTCCTCCTCATCATTGAGCAATTTGACTTCCACTGTGAAATGAATCTGAGCTATATCGGTACCCCGACCGCTTCCGACAGTCGGAACTGGTGTATAGATGGCAGTGTTGTTGTAAACCTCCTTGGGCTGCGTGCTTTGCTGTGCGGTGTCAGCACTTATGGCGAACTTGACGGAGGTTGAACAAGTCCCAGGAAGTGCGGCGACGCCCGGACTGCCGTTGACTGGAATTACGCCAGTGCTGGTGGAACTCTGTAGAGAGCGGCGGCGAAAGCTGGGAAATCGTCGCCGGGGTGAAGCTACATTCGACCTTGGGGGAAGCAATGGAAAACCTACATGGTGATCAGTCAAATTCAAAAACATTTGGAAGGAGAGAAAGGTGGGTTCTATGGCAACCTAGTTCAATAGAACTCAGAATTAATGATTATTTATTTTTCTCCATATGAATGCCTTGTCAAAGTAAACACACCGAAAGGGCTCTCGATTTAAAAAGTATTTACTAACGGCACAATGGGTCGCAATCTGCCCTTTTTAAGTTTTAGTCGTTAATTCGTCCTTTTGAAGGAAATTTCATAACATTGTAAGTTTTTTTAGTTCTAGTTGTAGGAGTACATCTTTGTTGCCGCTAGGATTATACGCACAAATAAAATACTTAAACTTACACAAAATCGGAAAGTAAAAAGTCTCTACGTACTGTGATGAGCGAAATCTACCAACACATTAATTGATTTACCACCCATTCAATTGGTCTAGACATCCAATAAATTAATATTAGCTATCGCCATCAAAAATTATTTCAATTATCCCCTTTACAATACAATAATTAACCATTAATTTTCATCTACTTAATAAAGTGCACTTCAGAAAAAGCATAACACCGATAGGATTTAACTGCGATTCCCAAGTTTTCGCAGAATTCGTAAAAATTCGTAACTACATAAATCCACCACAATATTAGTGTGGGTTATAAATTTCTAAAGGTTGAATGGTGTACGAGCGAATTACTGCATCCTAAATTTCCAGGTTCAGAAAGAGATAGAAATTTCCCATGGAACG